AAATAGTTAATTTTGCAGTTGTCTTATTCCTACTTAATTATCTGAACAAACACAGCTCAGCGTATTAATAATCTAAGATAATATTACCTAATCAAATAAATGAAAATGACTTGCTTCAGTGTTTAAAGAAATTATCAGCACTATTCCATCACTTGTTTCCTGTTTTCTCTTCTAATTCTTAAATTATTGTTATAATACTGTTTAACAAAGCTTCATATTTGAAGTTTTGAGAATTTTTATTTTTTTGGCATCATGTAGAATTTGAATAAAAAAGAAAAAAAAGAAAGAAACCAGCAATCGAAAATGAAATAATATATCACCCTATAAAACATATTAGATATTTATGTAATTTTTGCATGATATGCTATAAAATTTAACAATTAGTTAATAATACAACGACATTGGTAATAAAAAATAACAGGGTTTACAATATTAAATTCTATTCCATCTAAGAAAAAATGTGGTGTGGATGTAATTAAGTAACCAATGAAAAAATTTTATAAAAATTTGCAATTATAGCATTTTCTTTTAGTATTCCTAACACATGAGGGTAAATAAAATTGTCCAAAATTTCAAAACATTTTCATCGAAAAACATTTGAAACAATCCATAGCAACTATAGCAGTCAAAAAGCATTGTAATAAGCTTTTGACTAATATAAAATAATCGTTAATTGATAAACATCTTACATGACTACTATAGAAAATATCAAAATTTTGAATGATTTTTATAATACTCAACATGTGACAGAATCTGAAAATAGAATGAGATTCTGAAATACACAAAAGTAGCATTTTTCTTCTTTTTGAAAGTAAGACTACAATGATTGGCAAAAATCTATGCTTACAAGCATTAGCAAAATGCTATGATGCATGAGGTTGGTCGATTTAAAATAGTGATTTAATGATGAAACTATTTTATGTTTTGCTTTTAATTGACGAGTTTATTTGATAGGATTCTTTCGATCAGCCTACTCCTAAATATTGGCACTGAATGAGGACGTTTGAAATAGTGGTACAATAAATTAAAAAATTAATAGACTACCAAATAAATCAATATAATAACCATGTGAATAAGATGTTGTTAAAGACATACCTGAGCAAAAAAAGTGAAATAAAAAAAATGGGGAGAAGCAGAGGAATATAGAAGGACATTAATGGTTCGGGATGAATCAAGCTGAAACATGAGCTCTGGAACCAGTTTTCAATCACAGCTATTAGATGCCGCTGGTAACGTCTTGACCGATACAATCCAGATCCTTTTAAATGACATACACTTTTCTTTTACACTATTTGCTCATTACATTTTGTACCGCAAATACCGTTCTGTACCGCTTTTAATTACCACTTAAATTTATTGTCATATTGCTACTATACAAATATAATTTGCATGATAGCAGTGAGCATCAATCTATTTAATGATAAGATTTTATCAATAATCTTGTTGACCCTCCTATATTCTCACGCGCTAATATTTAGCACTTCTTTAGATTTATGGCATTATTTATGAGATATTTATAATACTGTAAGAGAAGAAAAATAAATTTCATCAATTGTATAACATAAAATTTTCAGGTATTTCTATCAATATATCCTACGGTTTGTACAACCTCAAGTCATAGAGAACTGTTTAGAATGAGATATATAAGTGTTTTGCTACCTTTGTTATTCAATTATGGAAAATCTCAGTACAATTTCGCTCCTCAAAAGCCCATTTTTTTCGGTAAGTGCCATTGTCCATCATATTTCTTTTAATCTATGAACAGAAACTGTCAAGTGTTATCGATCTCATATTTTAAAGTTAAAGTAAAGTTCATTATAATATTTGACAATTTAAATCATCTGTTCGTCATTTGCTCGATCCGCTTCTGAACTGATTGATAGTTTTATTTTATAATATTTCAAATTTGCTACAGTTTAATATTGTTTATAGGAAAATTTATTTTGCTAAATTTATTGCACAATATGAATCAAATAGTTTATTAATGCAAATAAATTTGCTAATTTTAGAAATATAATTTTCAGAAATTTTTTCCCCGATTCTTTATTTTTTTAATTTTTTGTCAATACGACTTTTTTATTTGACCAAAATAAAATTATAAGGAATTTTCTGGATAAAAAAAGATTGCTGTTACAAATGCAATTCTCAGCTATGCATGTTTGTTTATTTAAGCGAGAAGAAGCCAGACAGTAAAGATTCCAAATTGAAAATGTTGAATGAAATTTAAACGTTTCAAATTGGCAACAGGAAAAAAGTTGTTGCAAGAAAATTGAAAATTTGCATTTTGATTTTTGTGGCACTTATGAAAAACTTAAAGCAAATAGGGTAATTCAAGGAAAAAAAGTTGAGAAATTATGATGTCCAAACAAGAACAAAATATTATGTAAATTCAAATAATAGATATTAAGAACACCTTTTATTTCCATCTTTAGTGTCATCTTTCATGATAAACCAAATGCTAAAGATAAAAATGAAGGATTTGTCATTTCTTGTTCGTGGGATATTTTTTGTTCATACATTTTGATAGTTTCTTTTCTTCATTTTTTTTAAAATTATAATGTCTAATTCAGGTTTTTCATGAGCTTTTTTTCTCATAATATAAAAATAAGGATGAAAGTTTTCAATTTTTTTGAAACCTTTTTTCCCGAAAATTTGTCAACTGCTGGGAAATTTTAGAAGGATCTTAATTTTTCCTTATTTCATAAAATTTAATTAAATTTATTCATTTACTCACCATGATTGAAGCTTAAAAGGGATCAGGATGTCATTGAACTACGATTCGGATTCGCCATAGTTCATGTGACCTTATGTTTGATACAGCATTAAAATGCAAAATTATATTACAAAAAAACTTTGCACCCAAAAATATTCAAAAAAAAAATTTGAAATCTTCATAAAAAATTAATTTTTTTTGTTGGATATAATCATTAACAATTGTACAATTTTCCATTGCCATGAATTTACTTCTATAATTCTATTCTATTTCATATTATTTAAAAATTCTCCCGTGTTCTAATCAAATATATGATTAGCATTTGGCAACAATAGAAAACTAAAATACCGTAAAGATGATGGAAATGAAAGTTCCTTTTCTGAAACAAAATGATGAATCATTCGTAGAAAGAAACTTACAACAATTTATCAAAAAATTTAAAATAAGTGAAAATTATAAACTGACCTTAATTTTTGTCGTTCATTCAGGTATTAATACTTCTTTTAAAAAAGATATATCATCAAGTGTTGGAAAGTCACAAGTAAATTTCCATTCGCCATCTGATATTTCTCAACCAGATATTTCATATCAACATGTACTGTGAGTTGCTCAATATTTTCAATTGAACAAAACGAATTCAAACTGATAAAAAATGAAATTTAATGCTATCCAACATTAAAATGAATATCATGAGATAAGGTGCCACGATAAATTCTCTAACCGGAAGCATTAATGCTTCCGGTTAGGAAGAATCTCTATATTTTTTTTACATCTTTTAAAATTTTTAATGAGAAAATTACAAGACAAAATTGAGACTACCAATTTATAGTAACGCAATCTCAGTTGTTTACGCGCATTAAATAATTTTACTCTAAATAATCGTTTAAGTAACGGACGAACAGATTTGAAATACCGATTAAATGCCAGTGAAGTTTATCGTTCAGCCAAAGTATTATTCACAATCCGGAATCTTGGTCAGAATAATACAGGTTTAGGAACTGATATTAAAAAGACAACTATCATTCCAAATGTTCAAAAGCAAGGTTTTAGTTTCAATTTTCAATATTTTTTCTATGCATCACTTTTAGAAGGGAAATTTAATGAAATTATTAATTTATTAATATTCAATATTGGTCAAAAAAAGTGTATTTTTAATGAAATATTTTTGGGCTAAAAATTTCAGGATATTATTTGTTGTTTCCTTATCAAAACTTTAGAAGTACAAATGATAGCTTTCCAAAATACCACTCGTACTTCTAAATCAAGAAACGAGCCATTACTGTCACTGTTGTGTGTGTGAGTGTGTGTGTGTGTGTGTGTGTGTGTGTGTGTTCATTAAATACTTTGAACGTTACTGTTAGATTCATGAATGTGTGTTACAATCCGGCAGTCATTGATGTATTCTCCTAATCATTTTTAACTCTCAGCATATGAAACAATAAAAAAATTCTAAAATCTTTGTTCAAATATGAATTGAACAATGTGAACGACACAAAATAATTTGTAATAATCTCGTGATCCAATAATTCACTTACTGAAGGATCATTTACTAAAGAGCTAGTAAGAACTAATCTGCCTTAATTTTTTTCCTTTTCTTTTTTAAGATATCAACAGTTCTGTTGAATATCGAACAACTGCACATTCATCTCTAACACGTGAAAATGAAACAGAAATATTCCTGGAATCTTCGACAATTGAAAACGTTTCGACCGAAGGCATGGAAACTGGAAGGGAAAAAGCTACCAATGTATCTAATGAACTGCTTTATACCCCTCAGAAAGAGTCAGAATCTTTCGATTACAATGAATTCAATCAACAGCATGTCTCTTCGACATCTTCAATGGTCTTTCGTGTTTCAACAATTCCTGCATCAGTACAGCATCAAGAGCTGGATTCATCTTATCCCACAGATTCAAAGGAACCGAAATCAGAAAAGTATGAACCTGTTGATTTGAGCAAAACTTATGAAGCTCCAGAGGAGACGATATTATCATCGGATATTATATCAAAACAACTCTCTTCCAGTTTCGTAAATAATATATCATCGTTTACTGTCAATACTACATCCAGTAAAATCACAGAAAAGCAAAAAACAAGTAGCTTTTCAGAAACTCAGGAAGTAGAAGGCAAACACGGATTTAATATAATCGGAACCGGCGAATCCTATCCGGATTTATTAACAAATATAGTATCATCTTTAATTGCTAAACCCAATATTCCGATAAATCTTCCTGCTGCAAATACAGAATCTCAGGAATCAGCTATTCAATATTCTGATGATCATCATGTAATTAATATTTTAGGAAACACAAAAAATTCTTCTGGCACAGTATTTCAGGCAACAAACGTTGTTGTATCTTCCTTTAACAAGCAATCTGTTAAGCCAAAGATCCAATCGCTGTTACCTTTTCATTTTTCTATAAAGAATGGAACTGTCATTTCTAATAATGGATCATCAGGTAGACAGATATCTTCAAAACAGGAAACCATTCCCAAAAGTTTTACATACTTTGGATTTAATACCGATAAAATCAATAAAAGCAATATAAGCAATGACAATGTTACTACTACATTGTTAGTAACTACTGATAAACAGACATTTGCGCCAACAATAATGACTTCTGAAGAGATGCCTATGCTCAAATCTTACCATAATTTGTCAGTTGAGGAAATTCCGAATGTTACAAGTGAAAAAGAAAGTTTGGATAAGTTTAACTCACAAAACGGATATAATTCAGAGCAACAACCATCACTCGATGGTGGATATTATCCGAAGGAACAGTATTCATTCTTATCCAACTTAGATATTAAAGATAGTAGCGGTAATATTGCCGAAATTGATGAACAGAATTCTCAAAATAATGATATATATTCAACCAAAGTTTTCCCAAGCTATCAAAGTAAAGAAATGGTTGAACATGGTGAAGTTCCAATTCAATTGGGCCATACCGGTATTTCTGAGCAGGAACAACAGGTTTATTCATACTTTTTGTTTCATTTAATGGAATTTGTTTAAAAACCGAATACAGTCTCAAAATTCTCAACAAAATGTGCTAAAATTTGATTACCAATAATCAAGTAATAATATCATAATAGTTTCATTATAAAGTTATAGAAATTATTTTCAGATTTTCATTCAGAAAAATTTATTCTGAGCCAATATGTTTTATTTTTATTGAAAAAAATGAAATTTGCTTTCATCTTAGAGTAGGAATTTTACATTTCACAATGAAATTAGCATTGAATAGCAATATATAATATAAATTTTTTCATTTGTTATCAAATCAATGAGCGGAATAGAAAGCATCATCATAGAAAGTATTTTCAGATTAATAAAATGACGATGAGTTCCGATTCGTATCCATCCAGCATAGGTAATTAATTCTTTGTACTAAGAAAATTACTTCTGATACAAAAATTAAATTAATTAATTTTCATCCCTATTATTAGGTTCATGTTTGTAACCCATAACGAGCTTCATCTATCACGTATCATCACGTTTTAAAATAGGACAATCTTACATCAAACTACTATTCGGTGATCTGTAAGTTATTAGTGCAATTCATACTTTATCAATGTTATGACGTGTAACAACATTAACTCATTTTACGACTAAAGTACGTCAAATGCCTTACCTAATATGGCGATTATTACCTTATTTAATCAAAGACAAGCTAAATTCAGACAATTTTAACTTTTTTTACTTTACTCTCATCAAAGGCCAAGAAGATTCGGTAGCGAGAGGAAGTTTATATTGATTCCATATCGAGAATAAATTGTTTTTGTCCCATTTTTTTCCTTCTTCTTTTTACGCATTTTTCAATATTTGATTGAGATAAAAATGAAACCGTTGAATGTAATAATATACAGTTGACAGAAGTACAAAAGCAATATATATATATATATATATTGTAATGGACCAACTGAAGTATTTTTTTTTGGCTATCTGATTCAACAATTATTTTTTAAGCGAACAAATTTTCTTTAAGCGAAGCTGACAAAACATATTGATTGAATTCAATTATTTAAATTGTCCATAAAGCTACAACTTTGCTAAAAGTAGTCAAACTTTTTTGCTGTTAATTCCAAAAAATAAAAAATGGACGGGTTTTTTTAAAAACTGAGTTTAAAAGTCATTTAATCTGATTGGATTTAAATTTAATTTAAAGCAAAATCATTATTCCGCCTAGTTTGATTTTCATCACAATACAAATATGAACTTTTTACTAATATTGTTGTTTCCTATCAATTTATTAGTATTGTAAAATTTTATTATATCACTGCTTTTGAATTCACTGATAAATTTGGAGATTGGCAATCAACATCAGCCTATACAATAACAATTACGCCGTCATCGACGCTGTCGACAAATGGATTCAATGATGTAAATAGTAAAGAATTTTTAAAACCGACCGAAAATAGTGCCGATTTAGCAGTAAAACATTATGCTACCGATTTTGCCAGTGGTACCACACAGCCGAACATAACGGTTACTGATATGAAGCCGCAGATTTTTAAAGGAATTCATGAAATTAAACAAGCTGAATCAAGTAGTTTTAGTAATGAAAGCAGCTCGAAAACCAATTCTCAGCTTATTTCGAACAATGAACTTACATCATCAAACAAAGGTATTTTTTATTATTTTTTTAAATCAAAAACATTGATTTAAGCATAAATTATATCGGAAGAAGCTAGAGGAAGCACTGGATAAAATAGTGATAATAAATGTTAAAATTTTTGCTTAATTAGTAACATACACAATGTTAAAATTTTTTTTGCTTAATTAGTAACAACATACACTGGATTTTACTATCTTTTTTAAATGATGTCTTCACAATCAAATTGCCGGTAATTGCATAATACCGAAATTTACTTAATTCTTTCTTAATTCTTCATTTTTCAATATTTTTAGATTTAAAAGAAAGTATGCCGTCGGAATTTTTGCAAACGATGAAAAAAATGCCAACAGAAATTATGGTAACACCAACTTCCATTCTAGCTGGAATTCATCGAACTGAGATACCAGTGAAAAAAATCATTCATGATAATTATGCAACGTCAGTGAATTGGCTTGCAAAATCATCGATGAAGCTTGGAAAATCAAGTCAACATGTTATCCTTCCTATTTCTGAGCTGAAAATGCATCCTGAAGTATCTAATACCTCTGATCTGATTTCAGTCACAAGCACCATCAGGACAAAAGAATATTCCGAGGAGACAATTAACACTTCCACATCAGCTTTTCCTGCCAACATACTGCTTCCATTATCTGTACCATTGTTAGCTGTGACTGAAATTCCATCAACTACAGTAGTAGTACAACATGAAAGGACCGCAATCGATCACTCAACTATTGAGAAAGATTCCGAGGTCAACTTACTTCAGGTCAATGAAAAAACTTCAGAACCAAGTTATCCGAAATTATATGAAAATGAGAAGAAAATTGCAGCAGGTAACTACGGCCATCATTGGAATTCTGAATTTAATACTGAAATTTCTTCACCAAAAATACTTCAGAATCATCTTTCTGAAAGAGCCAGTAAGGTATATTTTTTTTCAGTTCCATTTTTTAACATATTATCAAAGAGCTTCATATGTTGTGTTATTAGTGCTATCAAATATGATTTGATAGGAACTGATTTAATCTAAAGTACTGCTAAGCCTTATTCCTTATTTCTCAACGTTTAAGAGATTGTCCACCAGTTTAGTCCTGACCCAGAATAATTATCTTCCCAATCTCACTTCATCACTTCATACACATTATTTTTTTTCGGTCGGCAAAAGTCGAAATTTAATTCGAAATGAAGGCCCACAAAATACACCTATACCTGGTTATCAATCCAAAATATCAAAAGGTTCCTTTCTTTACTTATAAAGTTTTCAAAAAATTTCTAACTTTAAAGGATAACTTCATTTAACAATAACTTCATTTAACATGTTCTCTTGAAAATGTTGAGTGTGAGATCTTGATGATTCTAATTAAGGCTTTATTATATTGAATATGAACTTCTCATTAGCTAATTAATGACGTCAATGTTATATTTCTAATTGAAGATTGTCTTT